CTGGCTAGGAGTGGACAGAGCAAGTGATCTGGCTAGGAGTGGACAGACTCACTTCTGTCCTCCTGGGGTTCTGACTGCTTCCAAGAATCAAACTGACATCAGGCAGTTTACATTAAAAGTTACATTAAGAAAAGAAGGTGGGAGCCAGTGTCCTCTGCCATAGGAGAAACTGAGGCAGTGACCTCCACAGGAGTACCGCAGGAGGTACAAGGGAGTGACCGCAGAGGGAGCAGGCCTGAGTCAGAGACCTCTGCGGGACTGGGCCTGAATCAGCAACCTCCACTGCAGCAGGCTTGAGCCAGCAACCTCTCCCAGAGCAGGCCCAAGGCAGGAACCTCAGTGGGAGCAGATTCAAGCAAGCAGCCTCTACTGCAGCGGGCCCAAACAACCCCTGGGAGCACTGAGTGACCTCTGGGAATACCAAGTGACCTCCGGGGTGACTGAAACCATGGCCCTGACTGTGCCACGAGGAACAACCATCTGAGCCTTGGATCCACTGGCACCTGGAAGACTGATTACCAGAGATACAGCCCCGGCTATACCAATCAGAGGAAAACAAGGGTCAACAAGGTACGAACACACTCAACACCACAAAAAGCAACTTGACACCAACAAAAACTACTGGCCCTGCAACAGCAAGGCTTGAACACCCAAATATAAATGAAGCAGAAGAAAATGAGCTAAAAATAACTTTAGGAGAATATTTGAGGCCCTTAAAGAGCAAATGAAAAATTCCCTCAAAGAAATGGAAGAAAAGACAAACAAAAAATTGGAAGACATCATCAAATCCCTTAAAGAAAACCAAGAAAAAGCAATCAAACAGATGAAAGAAACTATCTGAGACTTGAAAACTGAAGTAGAGGCAATAAAGAAAAACACAGACTGAGGGAAATATAAAACAGAAATTATGAGAAAATGATCAGGAACCACAAATGCAAGCAAAGACAGCAGAATACAAGAGATGGAAGAGAGAATTTCGAGCCCTGAAAATACAGTAGAGGAAATAGACTCATCGGTCAAAGAAAACATTAAATCTAACAAAAGCTTAACACAAAATATCCAGGAAATATGTGATACCATAAAAAGACCAAACCTACAGGCTCTTGTATTCACCAATGTGCGCCCAGATAATGGTGACCCCCAAGTACAGTACAGTGGTGTGCTGGGTACTTCCAGTGAGAGACAAGTGGATGAGCCTCGATGTCCTCTGCTGCTTTCTCCCCAGGGACAGGTCAGTGGGATGGACTCCTCTTCCCCAGGGCAGGCCATAGAATTCAGATTCCCTCCTCAAACAGCTGGGAAACTGCCCTAATGTTCCTCTTTCTACATCACAGTTGGCTGAAGGAAGGGCGGAGCCTGCCTGATAGTAAGTTGTTATATGTGCTCATTCTCAGCAGAGCCAATCAGATCCACCCAAGAAATTCTCAGTCAGAGGCCTAGGAAATGAACAGACTGGCTTCTCTGCCTCACCCCCAGTCTGTTCCCAGAAGTCCACACCTTTTTTCTAATTTTTCAAGAATTATTAATGAATTAATTTAGATATGTAGCCTATACTACAGTGTTTTATGTCTCACACTGTAGTCTAGGCTGGGCTGGAACTCACTATATCCCTGGATGGCCTCAAACTCATGGCGATCCTCCTGCCTTAGGCTCCCGATAACTAGAATTACAAGCATAGGACACCATGCCCAGCTTAACAAAGTGTCCGATGATTTTCATGTGACTTTTATTTTACCACTTTATGTGGGCTGCAAATTATGGTTGCCTTGTGAATTTTAGTCCTGTCCCTCTCTACACCGTGGCTTCTGCCTGGACTTGGCCAGTCTAGTGCTGAAGAATAAGTCAGGAAGACTTCCAAGGCAGAGCGTCGAGCACTGCCAGGGCTTAGGCTGAATTCCCCACCCCCCACATCCTTCCATGGTCCGGAGGGACCCAGAGTGCCAGTATGACCCGTGTGGATGGAGTGGAAAGTGTGTGTGGAGGATCAGAGGCAGAACAAACTGGTGTTAGAACTTGTAGTATAGCGTTTACGAATGGGGATTTGAAATATTTTTTTTTCATGGATATATGTCCAACATGTAACTTGCAATATCTGAACTCCAGATAAGCGTTTGGGTGTCTGTTTGGGCGTCCTGTATGAACAGCTCTTCTTACCATGTGTCTGCACCCCTTTAACTTAAGGGCACACACTCAAAGCGATGTATGTATTGTTTAAAACAATTTTACAAAAATAAAAAAAGGAAGTGAGTCCCTCTCATATGCCGTTTGCCTCCTTCATTAATGATTTAAATGCCCCAACTACTCTAATAGCATAATGTGCTTATTCTTGGATTGAAGTCAGTGATTGTCTCTTTGAGGGTTTTCAGCTCATTGGAGAATCCTGCAAGGCCCAGTGCAGGGGATATCTGCAGAGTGGCCCCCTAAGGAGAAATGGCTGACTAGGTGTACCACAGATGCTGGATGCTGCAGATTGGCATGAGAGAAAAAACAACCTGTGGACATACTTCCTACTCCCAGGAACTAAATTGGCCTTACATTTATTTGGCTCAATATCAAAGACTACCAAAACATTGTTTCCTCAAAAACCGTGTTTAAAAACCTTATAAACATCTCCTTATTTTTATTTTATCTATTGGTGCATGTCAACAGCAGAATAGTGAGGTTGCTGGTAGGAAACACTTCATCAATTAGTGGTATGTGGGCATACTATCTAACCTTTTGAAGCTTAGTTAACTCACATGTAAAATGGACATAACAGGATGGCTTTGGATGTTAAATGGCATGGAGTGACCAGACAGTCATCAGAGTGTATTTTATATAAAGCATTTAATATGTGGTGTGTTGTTGATATTATTGTTTATTTGGGTCAGAACCTTCCATCCCGTTCTAGGACTTTGACCTTTATGGTTTGTGTCTTTTCTCATCTCATGTTTTAGGTCCTTTGTCATCTTTGAACATGTTTGCCAAGGCGTAATTGGCATAGCATAACTGTTAAAGTACACAGTTAACTAGGAATCTTAAGCAGTGTTTGATCATCATTACTGCCTGCTTTTAAAATACTTCATCACCGGAGGGTAATTTCTGCCCGCTAGTAGTGCCTCATCATCATTCTGTCCCAGAATTCCCTGTAGCCGCAGACAGCCACTCACCCAGTTTCTGTCTCTGTAGACTTTCTTCTTCAGAATATTCAGATCAATGTAGCAATGCGAGATGTGGTCCCTGATTGGCTCTTTTCATGCTTTCAAAGCCCAACTGTCTTGCCACTGAGTGTATTGTTGGTGTGCGCCATGACCAAAACTATTCTGAATTTTATTTATTCATTCATCGATTTGCGGACATTTGAGTTTTGCTGCTTCTTGGCCACTATGAAAAACGGTGCAGTGGGCATCCATGTACATTTTACATGAACATGTGTTTTCATGGCTTTCTGGAATAGGAAGTCCAGGTTGTAAGGTAGCTGTAACACTAAAACCTTCACACTGCTTTTCGGTGTCTGCATACATCACTTACATTCCTACAAGAGCATCCGAGGATTCCGCTTTCTCTATAGCCTCGCCGACATGAGTGCTGCTGTTGTAAATGCTCTAAGCCTCCAAACGGACATGAAATAACACCTCAGTGCAGTTTTTGTTTTGCAGTCCCTGGTTATGAACATTGGTTACATCTTTGGAGAAATACCTATTTAAATTCTCTGTGCTGAACTAAGTTGCCTTTTATTGTTGACTTTATGTATTCTGGATGTGGGTTCCTTACCACAGATATGATTCGCAGATACTTTTGGAGCCCTCTGTAGGTTCTTGAAGTTATTGATATGAACTGATAAATCCTAATTGTCTCATGTTTTGTATGTTTTGTATCGAAAGCCTCTGTTCCCTTTTAACTGCAGTCTCCAAACTCTGTTTGCAGCCGCTCTTCCTCTACCTTGCTCTCCAGTCGGTCCACGATCCCCTTCAGGTCCCCGAGGAGTACATGAAGCCGTATGACTTTATCCAAGATAAGCACAGACGTATTTATGCAGGGATGGTGTCCCTCATGGACGAAGCAGTGGGAAATGTCACCGCAGCCTTGAGAAACCATGGGCTCTGGAACAACACGGTGTTCATCTTCTCCACAGGTCAGTCTGCCAGTAGGCAATCCATCTCTTGGCAAAGCCTAGGATGTGGCGTTCGGTAGGCGGAATGAAAACAGATTGGAGCAGTTAGCATTTCCTTACGAAAACAAGTGCTAACTGCAGTCGTGGAACCGCAGTCACAATGTGAATAAGGAAACAGAATTACATACCTCGTCTCCTTTCGTTAATATTTCAGAATACACCAGGAGTGTGCCCAAAGACCAGCGCTCACTGAGTGCATTAGCAGGCACAGCACATCCACAGGGCGTCAGGATGGCAAGTCCCCAGAGTGCCTCACCAGGCCAGCCATCTTCTGTGACTACCACTGTTGCTAACTGAAGGGCTATGTCTGGGCAGAGACAGTCTGCGGCACTGTAAAGCCAGGATAGAAAAGGAGCCAATTAAACTTAGGCCAGAGTGTTGGGGTCCAGCCTCGACAAAATTCATATGTTCCCAGGTAGGAGCGTGAGGATTAGAATTATTAAGCAAAGTGAATATAGATATAAGAGAAATAAGAGACAAAACCACAGAACAGCATCAGGAGGGAAATTCGGTGAATACTGAATCCACCCACTTTTATTTTCACTCCAGGGGAGGGGGAGGCAATAGACTTCATTAACATGATTTAAGCAGTAGACCAAGTGTCCTCCACCTTTGGTCCAGGTGGAGCCCATCCACCTCTCTATGCAAAATCCTAACTAGCCATACTCTAGGTGTGTTTGAAACATGTATGATACATGTATGTATATACATCATTAAATTTACACTCTATTTTAAAGGTTTTTTTTGTAGGTTTGTATTTTTGTTTTCGTCAGCCTTTCAAGTGAGTTAATTCTTCACATCCTGTTGACCTTGGCTAATACCAAAACCGTTGACTGGAAACTCTGTGTGAGATCGGGGCTTGTCATCCAGTGAGCTATTCTGAAAAGTCACGGGGTGGGGGTGGGGGTGAGGCAACATGACGAAGAATTAATCTTGCCGGCCTCGTAGTTGTTTCTGTTGTTCTGATGTTTTGCTTTGCTTTTAGTTAAGCATAGTTGTCAAATCTAGTGTGGTTGAGCCCTTACTGTATACAGACAATCTCAAGAGCCTCGCGTGTTTAGTTCAAATAACCCTCACAGCAATTCACTCCCTGAGGACTGTTCCCTCATCTTGCAGAAGTTAATACTTAGCCCACAGTTACACTGCCATATCTGGGCAGTTCTGACTCTCTGTTTCAGGCTCTGTAGCATTTTCTGGCCTCAACGATGGCAATCTTTGTTTATCTAAGACAAGATCTTGTTGCCATATAGCCAAGCTGGTCTGAATTCTCAGTCCCCCTGCCTCAGCCTCTTCGGTGCTGGACTATATGTACTCATCACCATCCATGGTGAGTTGATAATGTTTGTGTTCTCTTCCAACTCCCGACACAGCAGAACTATCTCCACGGTGGGCTGCAGCAGCAGGTTGCTGAGGAGCCGGGCAGGGCACAGTGAGTCAGTCGGTGGTTGTGTGAGCAGCTTGTGTGGTTGCTTTAGTGCCCTCTAAATACTATAGTTTTCTAAGTGTTCCCTATATTGATAAGGGTTGAATATAAGATAATTTTTTTCACAAAAAAGAAAAAAAGAAGAAAGACATCTTATCTGTAACCCTTTACGGGGTCTTTTATAATCTGGGGGGTCAACCTCAGTTTACTTCATTTAAAAATCCCTCTATAGCATTTTTGATCAATCTGGTGTTGAAGGCCTGGAGTCTCTAGAAACACTTGGAAAAGGAGTCCAGGATGCTCAACACCGATTTATTGGAAATTTAATTGGAAATGACCGCAAAAATTGGAGACTATAAGTTAAAAAAAAACTCAAGCCTTGTTGCAGAGATCATGATTACATGGTTTCTGAACAGTGATTTCCTGAATATGGATCAATATGTTACTTATGAACTAAAGAGTGCTCAGAAGTGAAGATGTTTACTCTGGAAACTGTTAAATATCTCAGTGACTCTCATAGGCATAGCAATATGGGTATCAAGGATGTCTGGGAAGAGCTGGAATAATTTTTTTGTGTGATATATGAGAATGAGAAAATATTTAAAAGTCAATGTCTCTTTTGTGTCATGATTTCAGATATGTGTATTTTAAAATAGAGTTGAACATTTTATGAACATCTGAACATCTTATTCAATTTAGCAAAAATAATATTTGAAGCTTTTCACTGCAAACATGGTGATTACCTTAAAATAGGGCTCTTGTTTCCTGATAGGATGTCTTAACAGATGTATTAATCCTAGGTCATCTTTGCTTTGGGGGCTCAATGCAGCTTGGTGATGCCTAGACATTTTAATAATGTTCCTAAATTTCATTCGGTGGAGTTTTAGTTAGGATTTTCGCATCCGTTCACAAGTGAGAGTAGGATTGTTTCCTTTCTCACTGGCAGGCTTTGCTGTCTTGATTGAATCACGTGATAAAATAATTGGGATGGTTTCCCGTCTCTTCTATGATCTGGAGTAATGGGCACTCCCTTGAGCCTTTTTTGGAGGCTCTTTAAAGGTTATCTCCATAGTTTACATTTTTCCTTACTTATGTTTCGATTGAGTCTCCAAATGTTTTCAGATTAGTTTTTCCTGAGATATAGTGCCTGCCTTGATTCCACCTTCAGATGATTCTCCATCCCAGGGAAGTTTCCCATATTTAGCTTGCTGACGTTGGTCTGTTTGAATTGGGGAGGGGGAAATCAAACTTTCAATAGGTTGGATTGCTAATCCAGCTTCTTTTCTTATCCCCTTTCGGCTTTCTGTCTTTCCCCAGTCTCTCTCACTCCCTACTGTGTTTCTGTCCTTTCCCTCAGTCTCTCGTGCCTGTGTTACCAGCTGGAGGTTCTGCTGTTTTGGCTCTGTCCATCAGTGTTTCTGGTGGAGATTATTTGTGACTGTGCTTTTAATACCTTTGCATTCCTTCCCTTCTTTGCTCTGTGCCCTTCTCTGCCCGGTTTCATAGTAGAAATGACCCCTGTGTTAAGTCCTGACTGCACACCCAGGCACCCTCTAGTGTTTGCCTCCACTTACGCTGCCCTTGCCCATAATGAAAGTGGGGCAGCTCAAGGTTGCTTTGTGAGCTGGTTCCTAGTCTCCATTTTATCAAAGAAAGAACCCCAACTTCAAGAAGCTGAGAGATTAGCTACATGTCAGACATGAGAGAGCCAGAATTCTTAAGATCTACTGGGGTCAATATCTAATTACCAATCGATTGTCCTTTTAGCTCATCTCCTTGTCTTTTATCTCCTTCTTGGCTTTCTGAGCATCAGTTCCCAAAGCCAGCCTCTCCCTAAATCTTTCTGAGAACTTTAAAGTCTTTATTTTTATGCCGAATCATTGCCAGCTTTCTCCCAATGTAGTGATGTATAGGCTATGTGCACAGTACGTGTTACCATCTCTCTGTGCCCTGGCTAATTCTGTCCCACATCTGTGATTGGGGTCAGGTTGATAGACACAGCTCACTGGGTTCCCAGGCTCTCTAGGAGCAAAGTGTATTCCACCCAGCAGAAGCCATTTCCTTCCCTTCTGGCCATTGGTCCTTTGACCAGCCCAGGTCACCGTGACCTGACTCCCCTCAACTCCATTCTATTAATGTTTTACTTTTGGAAATAGCCCAGGAAACCCTTTCTTCCTCCTATCCCATCTTCTAGAAGTGATCAAGACCTCTTAACTACATATATAAGGGTAAAGAGGTAATAACTCTTTCTCTGGTTATGTGCAAAATTAGCACTCCTAGCCTTTCTTCTGCCTCCATTCAAGTAGGTGGAGTGGCTCACGTCCAGAGACCACGTAGCTCAGGTTAACCCTGTTTCCTCAGTACAGCATCCCTGGCCTTAAACTTTGTGAAACTTTTCATGATTCTAGGATTATAAGCTATTTCCTATAGTCATGCCTGAGCTATGATTAGTTCCCATCTTTCTCTGTTTATTTTTAGCTAGATATTGCCTAAAAGAAGCAGTGTTCGTCACAGTCAAAAGGACAAGATGTTAGCCTGGACTCCCTTCATTAGAGCTCATCTTTCTACTTGCTAAACTCCAGGAGAGCCAGTTCTTGGTCAGCTAGACCAGTAGTTCTCAATCTTTCTAACACTGTGACTCTTTAATATGGTTGGCTCCTCATGCTATGGTGACCCATAATGGTGAAAATTATTTCATTGCTGCTTCATATCTGTAATGTTGCTACTGTTATGAATTGTAATGCAAATATATGTGTTCTCCAGTGGTCTTTGAGGGGTTGCAACCCACAGGTTGAGAACCACTGAATTAGACCAGGAGACTCCGAAGAAGAAACAGTGTCATTTTGTACATGTCTACGCCAGCTCTTCCCAGAACAGCTAGTCTCACTTCGGCTTTGGCGTTCAGGAGAAACCTCATTTGCGTTTCTTTCTCCAAAGGGTTTTCTGCTGCTCTAGACAATTTTTTCCCCCGAGGTCGCATTTAGTAACGAGCATGACAGTGTGGCTGCACCCCAGGAGAGAGGGCCTGTGCTGAAACCACGTGGTTCATCTTTTCCAGTTTCTAACTACTTAGTGCTTCTCTTCCTTGTAAGTGCTCAAGGGTTTGTGCATCCAGATGGTGAGCGTTGGATGTGTTAGAGAGACCACAAAATGCACCAGTCTCTTGGTGTCCAGCTTGTGCTCCATGCCAGAGAGGGGCAGGTTCTAGGTTAGGCTTGAGAGGTGTTTGCTGTCTTCTTGAAGTTCCCCTTATAATCTGAGAGAAGTCCACAGGGCGTCTTATCCTTTGTTACCTGCCCCTCGTCTGACCTTTAAAGTGATCTTTCTCAGTCATCGTCTTAAGACCTCACAGTACTGCGTTTCTGGGGTGTTAGTGGCCCAACACTGCACATCCACTAAATGCCATTGAATCCAGCCCTTTTCAGTGTCTAACTTCATGTCCTATGAATCTCACCTTAATTTTAAAAGCATAATACCTTTTTATTTATTTGTGTGTTTGTTTGTGAGCACATGCATGCCACAGCCTGTGTGTGGAAGT